CTGGGCAGTGCCTGCCCCTGCCCTCTCCCTCCCTCCCTCACCCCAGCATTGACCTCCCCCCCACACCCCTTCCTTCCCTCCTCCCCTTCCGACTTACCAGCTGGAGGCAGTTCTCCATGCTGCTGACTCTGCACTGTGCTGCGCTGTGGCTACATACAGCACAGGCATTTATCAGCCAAATTATCGGCCCCATTAGGCTGATATCCAATACAGCAAAATCTTTTTATATCGGTACTGATCCAATATTGGACTGTTGTATTGGTGCACCTCTAATATTTACCTTTAAATTTCCACCTCATCTTAAACATTGTATCAATACTTTTGACCCCCACCCCAGTGCCGCCCCAGCCTGGCCCCTACCCGATCCAACCTTCTTCACCTGCCAACAGCGTCCCTGTTGCTAGAGGCCATGGGGCCCAGGCCCAGCCCGAGCACAGCCTGCAGGCCTTGCCATCACCATGGAGACACTGCTCAGCTGGACGCCAAGCCCAGCCCTGTCCCTGAGTGGCGCTGCTTGGGCCATGCCAGCCAAGTGCTGAGCCTGGCCCTGTCCCCTATGAGTGGTGCCAGGCTCGGTGCTCGGCTGGCGCAGCCCCATCCCTGGTGAACAGCACTGTGCTTAGCGCTTGGCTGGTACAGCCCAGGCAGCACCACTCACAGGGGATGGGGCTGCATTAGCCAAGCACCAAGCCCAACCCTGTCCCCTGAGAATGGCACTGCACTACGTGTTCACTCCCCGGGTGCCTGGCCCACAGTGAGGGCACACAGGGTCCAGTATAAATCCACCACATATTTCTGATCCAAAAAGTTAGGTAGACATATACACCAGATCTATGAAACTCCTAACTTTTTGGATCAGAAAAATGAGGTCGACTTATACACCGTGTCAACCAGTACACTGTGAAATATGGTGCTTGTTTTCTGAACAACTCAAAACAGTTTTTGCATAGTGAAATAATTCCAAATATCTATTTCATCACTATTGCACTGTCACATTCTGAAAAAAAGGAGGACCTACTGAAATCAGGCCTGCATCAGGGGCTGGCCTCCAAAAAAACCTGTAATGAGAAGCACTGTATAATATATGCACAATTGTTTTTTGTGCTCTCCAATATGCACTATAAACACTATTATATATAGTATCTAGAACAGTATAGTGTGAGTATGTGTGTGTGTGTGTGTGTGTGTGTGTGTGTGTGTGTGTAATGGTGTAGCATGTATATATTTATAACAGTATTATATGCATACATATACACACACTATATATATTTAACATACATAATAATTATGTAGTATACGTAAATATATATAGTGTGTGTATACATATATAAACAAACATTATAATGTAGTATTATATATACACACACACACACACACACATATATATAAAATAAATTATTACATATATAATTTCAGATCACAGGAAAAAAACATTAAAAGTAAGGAAAATATTTCCAATAAACAGCTTAGAGGTATTGTGTTTTAAGAAGATGACATTTAGAACAGTACATACGTAATGCCCTCTTGATTATCAAGTTGGTAATGCTTCTCAACTGGCAACAATTCATTTTCATGCTCTTCATCAGAGATGCTGTCTGAATTCTGTTCTTCAATTAAAGGCTTCATTACTTCCATGTCTGTGTAGCACATTAATAAAACAGAGTATGGTTTTATAAACAAATTTAGGAATATTATGTAAATCTACATGTTTTAAAAGCAAAACTGGGTTTGAACTATTTAAAATGTCATTAACTTTACCTGCAAAGTCACTAAGAGCAATTTGCTATAGTATACACATATACACTTAAAAAAATATAAAAAAGTATATAGTATACACCATATACTTAAAAATATCAATGTTTATCCTCCTCACATTCAGCTTGTTTTGTGATCAGAGGTACAGAACTGGTTTTGTTAATTAGCTCTAATAAGATTAAACTCATCAACACCATTTTCATCATGGTTTACATCTTAACAATGCAGAAGTCTTCAAAACTATTTATTTTAAATGCTAATACAGCATATTGGAACGTGTTCTGACATACTATAGTTACACAATGGTTTGTTCATCTACATTAGATTCACCCTAGTGGCATCATAAGTAATTGTGTAACAAGAGTATTTTAGAGCTCTTAACTGTGGCCTTCTGCAGCCCCCATAGCCACACCCATGTTTAGGGTGAACACCTTTTCAAAATGGAAAGGTGGGACACATGCCCGCCTATTCCCACTTCCCTTCTCCCCAGTGGCACAGCCTGAGCAGAGACAAGCTGAGCCCATGGAAGGTGAGGAAGAATGCAGGCTGCCTGCTGTGGGCTCAGGACTACCCGCCCTGCTGCCCTCTCCCTAGGACCCCACACCAGCCACACTGGCATGGCAAGGCCCCCCCTGCCTGCCCAACAGTGTGCCACCACTGCCCCCACTACTGCCACTCGAAAAACTGAAACTCTGCCAGTCTGTAAGGGGGAACTTGCCGTTTCCTGCATTTTTTCACAGTAAACAGAAAACCTGGATCCCTGCGCGATACTGGAGTCTAGAACAAATGCCATCCCAGAGTCATTCAGCCTGGGACTAGGAATTAATAGTCCCATTTCAGGACTGTTCTGAAGGCTGAGGCCAAGCAGGTTGGAGCCAGAGCTGGAGCCCCGAGGGGACAACAGGGACAGGCTGAAGCTGAGAGGGCTGGAGTATGCACCCAGAGGGGGCAACAGGGGCAGGATGAGGCTGAGGGGGCTGAAGCCTGATCCCAGAGGGGGAAACAAAACCTCATGGGCCCCTTGGGTACCCCTGTGACCTCCTTTCCTCCCCTATCAGCCACGTCCAGTCTTCTGATCTAAAACTAGAACAAAAAAAACACAAGCAACAGCTTTAACTCAAAGTCCCCCCTCTGGACCATCATACCACTATAGGACAATCTTCCCACTCTCCAGCTCTCCCAGCCCTGGGAGTACCTGCCATGGCCTGCAGCTCCCCCTCCCCCACCAGTCTAAGCAGGCAGGAGCTCTTCTTCCTGCAAGACTCAGAAACCCAGGCTTATATTCCCTGGGCTTCTCCTGCTCCCGACAAGCTGCAGGTGTGCCCACTCATCTTAATGGGCAATTTACTGCGCCTAGGTTGCAGTTGCTCCCTTCCCTCCTGGAGCTAACTCCTGTTCAACTGCCTGGGGCTCTTTCTGCTGCAGTCTCTTTCTCAAAGTAACAGGAGCCCCAGGCTCCCTGTTATTCCTCTCTAGTAGGCAGCTTCACCTGAGGTTCATCATATCAGCCCACGGGAGGGGCCTTCTGAGACTGGTGTTCAAATACCTCCAGCATCTTCTTCAAGGGGCCCTACACCCAGCCTAGAGGGAGCCTGTCTGAGCTGTTATAACTAGATCAATTAAAGTATCTTCCTGCCTTGTGAAGGCCTCCCGTTCCCTGTTAGAAATGCCAGAGCAAATACATCTGACAAGCAAAAACTCATTTCAATCCTGTGTGCCTGCCATGTTGTGATAAAGGGATCCCCTATGAATAAGACAGAAGATCATGGAAATACTCTTTAATCCCTAGTATTAGAAAAAAGTCTTAAATATCTTTTTGCAACCGGGAACATTTCAATTTGCACTAAATATAGCTGCACTTTCTATCCTTGCCCATAAATTGTATGATATGCCAGTTAAGCCAAATCTTCTCAGTAATATTCTCTCATCTACGTGTTGCTGCTGCTTGGCCTCTACAGACATTTCCTAACATTTTTCATAGAACTGTCATAAGCATTTCTACCCTTAACCTTCCAACTGTCAGCTCAGCCTCTTGGGACCAATTGTAAAATTCCTGGTCTTGTCATCTTGGACAATCTTCTACTGACACTAGTGCATATCAAAGAGTATAGTCTCTGGGGAAGAAGTGGAAAAAAGAACTTTTCTTTAAACCACGCCCAGTGCTAAAAGTTTGTGTAGTACCTGAACTACAGGTTCCAGTGCAAGGTTTAACATTTTAACTTGTTTAGCATTGGGTCATCAGCGACAGAGTTAAAAGGCTCAAGCTATAAAAACATAGACATTTTACCTGTGACTGAACTTGCCTGTCCTTCAGCTTGACTATCCCCCCACCCAAAAAAAATCCTTAACCATTTAGTTTGGATACACTTGGTTTGACATCCTCAAAAGAACCTTCTGTTAGTTTTGAATGAAATGGAATAACTATGACGATGAGTTATTTGTCCCTTTAAATTGTAGCCCTTCCTACTGCCTAACCTCCCCATGAAACCACCTGGTCATCTAAGAGGTTTTTTTCGATACTATCGCCTCTCATGCAAAGAAGGGATGGGAAGAAGAGAATTAAAAATTCTATTTTTGCTATAGTGAACTTGAGCTGAAGGCAAGACATTCAAGGTATCAGAGACATACACCAAGATTTAGTTTGGACAGTAGGACACAGCTCTGGAGCAGATCTATGCAGCTACCTTTGCACAGAGCAGGTAGCTAAATTTGTGTTTGCGCATGAGATTATGCAGGGAAAATAGTGATCAAAGATAGAGCTCAGTAGGGTCACCAAATGAAGCTGAAGGACACTCTGAAGGAAAATCAAGAAATGACAGAATACAAGATTTTGAGAACCACAAGTCACATCTACACATGAATTTACATGTGCCTAAACTTAATGCGCCTTTGCAGCCTGCCCTGGGCAGCACCCTGGACAACCCCTGGAAGCCCACAACAATGTAGCCGGGTGGTGCAGCCCAGCACCAGCCAAGGGGATGAGAGCTTCCAGTCCCCCTGGATGCAACTGGCCTGGCCCCAGCCCTACCTCTACCTCCCCCCAGCACTGGTCGAGAGTGGGCTGGAGCCAAGCCTGCATAGCCCCGTACTGCCTCCTGACCATGCAGCTCCTGGCACTGTAGCCACTGCCAGCCCCAGCACGCTGCTGCATCAAAGGTTTCTTTCCTCTTAAGGACCAGGGGGCAAGAAATCTTCCTCAAGCCAAGAGCCTCAGGGAACCACAGCTAGGGCTGCACAGGAAGCTCTTACTGAGGGAGGCAGGCTGCTGCCATGCCACAGAGCTTGCCCATGTCTGTACCAGCCACAAGCGTCCTTGCTTCTCCCATAGCTCCTGGCCACAGCCACCATTGCAGCTTCCTCTCAACCTTAAGACAAATAGCAGTATATACTGTTGCAAAAGCTCTCTGGGCATACAGGTCCCTTCCCTCTGTTCTCTTCAGATGTCCCAGTGCAGCATGCCCAACTCCTGGCCCATAGCCACATCTGGCCAATGGAGCCATGTTACAAGCCAGAAGTCCAGAAATTTGGCAGCCGGGAAGCAGCAGCCATTGACATAGAAACCACTCCCTTGCTGCCAAAAGCAGAATGTGCTCAGTAAAGAAAACCACTGATGACATTGTTGAAACACAACCGACATGGAACGTGAATATAAAACACGTCACCGACATGAGGTAAACATACTGACAGGAATCTACCCCTTCTTTTTTTATCATTCTTTTTCTAATCTTTATCAAGGCCAAATCTGTTCCGAATTCTATCAGGTAACACCCAGCAGCCAAGCTCCAAAATCTGACTGAGCAGAGCTCAATTGTCAAGACTGTGGCCTTACCACCAGGCAAGCATCTTCCCTCCTGCACCAGATCTGGGGCTTTAGAGACAACTTGTCGTGACTTCTTGTTAAGAATCCTGGGAGCTTCAAAAAATACATATGCAGATGAGACACAGGACAACCTGGTCTGGCTCCATCTCATGAAGGGCGGGGCCACACATCATATGCAACAGGCTAAGAGAGGGCAAGAGATGGATTCTGGGTAAACTGTTTGGGGCTCTGTTTGGTGATGTTTGCCAGTCACTTAAGGCTAGGGAAGAAACAAGAATCAGTGCAACAGAAAGAAAGGTGCGGCTCAGCTGTGGGAGTGAAGAGGAAGTCAAAAATGTATATTCACCTTGCCTTCAAAGAGAGTCAGCACTGAGGGGGACTGAGAACAATGAAGAGTAAGCACAGGAGAATTATCATGTGTTTTGTGAATGTACAGATGCATGGTAGTTCTCCTGTGATTATTGTCTAGTGGGTTACAACCCCTGCTGAGGGAAGAAGAGAGTGATGACAGCAGAAAAGGGGAACAGAAAAGTGAAATGGAAGACAGTGACAACAGTAGCAGTAGTGGGTCCTCCAGTAGAAGCTGGAATGACAATGGCGAAGAGTCCCCATGAACTGAGTACCTGACCCTGGAAGTGGGGTATGGATAGATGTGAAGGGAAGACTGGTCAGAAAGACCAGATAGGACTGAGTGTATATTTTGTGTGTTTTGTGCATGGTTTGTGGATATTGTAACAGGTACAGGTGGCCAGCAGGCCTTTGTACAGGTGCACAAGTGCACGGGAGCACAGGTGTGGTTCTTCTGTAATGGGATCAGTTTAGGTATATATAACCATATATAGAGAGAGAAATATATTTTTACAAAAAAAAAAAAAAAAAACAACTCCTGTGATTATTGTCCATTGTGTTCAGTCTTCCATAATGCTAGTTCTTTTTAAAATCTGCAAAGTAGGCTTTGCTTTTTTTTTCCCCGCTAACAGGTAGAAGGCAGAAAATGCTCCTTCCTCCTTTGTCTCTTTGTCAGACCACTGCTTCCAAACTATTCCGTGCTAGCATGGAAGA